GTCCATCTAGATTTAGTAGGACCCTTACCCGACTCAAACGGATACTCATATCTCCTAACATGCGTAGACCGTTTCACTCGATGGCCAGAAGCCGTACCGATTAAGGACATTACTGCTGAAACCGTGGCTCGCGCTTTCGTCGAACGATGGGTAGCAAATTTCGGCTGCCCTTCCACAATCACTACAGACCGCGGACGCCAATTCGAATCTGGACTTTTCCGTTGTCTGACCTCACTATTAGGAATCACGCGCTTCCGAACGACCGCCTACCACCCACAAGCAAACGGGTTGGTAGAGCGTTTTCATCGACAACTAAAAGCTTCATTATCAGCTTCAAACGTTTCACAGTGGACAGACGCTCTTCCACTCGTCTTGCTAAGTATCCGCAATGCAGTGAAAGCTGACATTGGATACACGGCATCTCAACTCGTTTACGGAACTACACTCCGACTCTCAGGAGAATTCGTGGATCCTTCAGCTTCTTCATTGAACATGGATCTAAACTCTTACACGAGTAGGCTTACAAACGCTATGCGTTCAGTTAAACCTGCTCACACTAGACCTCAATCAACTGATGTTTTCGTTCAATCCGAATTACGACATAGTACACACGTTTTCGTTCGTCGAGACTCACATCGACGACCCCTCGAATCAGCATACGAAGGACCCTCCAAAGTTCTTCAACGCGAACCCAAGTACTATGTAGTCGATAAGAACGGTACGAACGATAGAATCAGTATCGATCGACTCGAAGCAGCGTACTTAGAAGGAAACCCTAGCTACGTCGATTTTCCTTCGGTACAAGCAAACGACACAGCCACTACACTCGTAGTACCCTACACGACAACCGACACACAACTTGATACTTCGTAAACGTCGATAGATAAACCTAAAACAACGCGTTCTGGAAGACGAGTAAGATTTCCAGAACATCTTAACGAATATTGCACGTAGGACATAAGCTTAAATTGCCCTTCCATAGTTTATTCTAAAAAATTTTTTTAGATGATAATTTTTATTTGGATAAAAACCCAAAAAAACCCATTTTTTCCGAGCGCTTTTACGCTGTTTGTAAGTGCATTCGTTTTTTTTCCGCTCATCTTGTGTCCTTACGCAAGTACGAGTGTATTTTCGACATGCACTCACACGTTTTATTTTTCCTCTTTTCCAGGACGGCTGGAAAAGATCGACGAAGTTTCGCAAGGAACCGAAATTTTCATTGTACTATATTTCTTTATTGCTACGTTGTACATTTTGGTCCCATAGTTTAAGGAAAGACGACCAGACGCTGCTAAACGAAGCAAGCTATCAGAAGAGTGTTTACCAACGACAAACTCGTTGGGTTTAAACTTCTGGCTGGTCACGTCTTAGGGGCATCACTACCTCACTAGGGGGGAGTGATCTGTAGCTGTAAGTAATTCCCCAAAATCAATAGCTCATTAAGTGTTCGACATTGGATGCTGACCACGTTGTTTAAGTGGACTTGCTTAGCTGAAGGCTTTCGGTCATGCATCCGTACCAGATCACGTTTCAACTCGGCGTGGGACACAGCCCCTACGTTTATTAGCCAGCTTATAGTAAAGGTTCCTCGATATATTGGTAACGTATCAAATATATCTTTCCTACCTCTCCTCGTCTGACTTCTGGTTTCTATTCGACTGGGAAAGAACGATTATAGGAGATACTACTGGTTGCTAGTTGGCAAACTAGAATATCCGTGGTATCCTCAATAGTCTTCAGACAGCGAAATCAAGTAACCTCCTATCTCTAGATTTGGTGACATACTGCTTCCTGTTAATATTGAAGATCTGCGATAATACCCAACTAACTTCATTTTTTAACAAACACTGATAGGAAAACGGTGATAATATAAGTGCAACACAACTGTAGGCAAACCATTTATTCCTTACGTGTAGCAGAGTCTCGGAATCCACTACTTGATAGATAAGTCTAAAGAACTCCCCTGAAATCATTTAAGAGGAAACTTGATATGCATCCTTATAAAATCGGAGCATAATACCACGATAATCCGCAAACGTGTTTCGCTCTTTCGCTTATTTTGCTTGCTTCCATTCCTACTTGAGCCAATGAATGGTTCACTGGTACTTGCCACGAAAGCTCGGTAAGAGAAAGCTTCATTTAACGCGTTTAGGGAATCGAAATTGACAATAAGCAATAATAACCAGTAGTATTCCTCCTACGTTTAGGAACTGTTCATGTTATGAACTATAGTTGAATGCTTTAACTGATCCGGTAAGACAAGGATGCATGTATTGTTGACCTTGAGTCTAAATAAAATCTTGTGATACTATCGAAAACACTGTTAACTTCTTGTTTTGAATATCAGATTGTCTTAATATCACTATCGTGCTATATATAATTGTCGTTAATTGCTTTCTTTTTCTTAGTGCAAGTTCATTTCGTGTTCCTACTGATTCGACTCACATTTCTGTCTTTTTCCTTCTGTACCAGATAATCTCACTTACTTCTACTCACTCTCCCCAGCACACAAGGTACATTTAAGCTAGGAGCAAGACTGTAAATATCTGAATGTCACATAGTATGGTGTTTTTGTACCGGTGATTCATGCACACGTGTACGTATTGTTTGAGCAATGGCCTAATCTCCTTATTTTGGAGATGTTGCAATAGAAAAACACATGTGTTTAAGGCAGTATTCTTAGCACCATCGTTTCAACTTCTATGAGTAAAGGAACTTATTTTCAGGAGACTAGATTCATATATGTATCTAATGTGACTAATATATTAATGATTTTCGGAAGTCAGTTTTTTGGGGATAATAGTGTATAATAAAGTTTTTTAAAATCAGGGAGTCATTGACTGCCTCTAAACTAAGGATAAATATCATTAAACCTTAAGTAATTTATCAGCTTACCAAATTTTCGCGAACTTAATATGTCATCGAATATCCCGATTAGGAATGTTGTAACTCGGTTTGTGATCTCTACTGTATTTAATGCTAAACGTAAGTAATTGCAAAAGGTTCTGAAACTTGTAATTATTTCAGTATATTGGACAATTATGTTTGCAAGCTATATGAAGGTCCTTGAATTATTAGGTGTTTACAAACTATGTAATGTGTGAACCTTTTATTTTCGTTCGGCTTAATAGCATCGAAAGCATGTTTTTTGTGTTTCTCTTGTGGCATGAGAGACATTTTTCAAAAAGAACCTACTTAGTCAATATGTTTGTGCAGTCGAACATAAATCCGATGCCATCCATTATATAGGATGAGACTCATCATTCATCTTATTATTAAGTATACCGAGCTACTCGTGATTTCATATCTAAACTTTCACTTCTTAAACTCACCTATAATAAATCTTGTTGTTTGTTCTGAACTTTTTCTGACTTCTGGTTTACGTTCTATAAGTCTGGGAACGTAATGTTTCCAATTTTCGATAATCACTAAATGCAACCATCAAATTTAGTGTTTGAAGAAATACCAAGCTACTACTTGTAAAACTTGAATGGTAACTTCTAGTTTGATGAAGTGCTGATTTAGCTATGAAGGCTTACCACTATCAGGTGCTTCGTCTCATAATCAAAGAACACTCACTGCGATGTTTAGAGCTATGCAGGATTATTTGCTCCCAATTCTTAAGTTTGGCTCAACGCCGAGTACAAAATATTGCAAAATAGTTAAACAGTCGTTTTTATCATTGGCTTTCTTTATTCTCAAGTATAAAATATGCCCCGAGTAGTTCAATTTTGTGCCCTCTACTTATTTGAATGGGTTTTTGATTTAGTTATATAAACGTAATAATAAAAAGAATTCTTAGAATTAATAAAATAAAAATAGTGGAAACTAAAACCAGTTGGTTTTTCAGTAGGTTTTTACAGACATGGCTAGGGGAATCCTACTCACTAGCTTCTTGTGTCAAGAGTGTTGTTTACGAAATTGGTAGGACGAACAGTGAATTTCCGGCTCTTAAACCGGGTTATTGGGTACGGAGGATTCACCTAAGGGTTGGAAAACGTTGATTCCAAACCAGTAGTGTAAATGGGCTTCAGGATCCTGAGGGTAGAAATGGCGTATGAACTTGCTCTTGGTCATTGGCTACTATGTGACTACGTCTAATGTTGCTCTACTGCCTTATAAATTAGACCTCCGAGTCAAAGACTAAGAAGGTGGTCCTTCAAAGAAACCGCCTTTGATTTGGGCACCCGGTATTTATTCCAGCCCACAAACTAACTTAAAGATAGCTATTTTTGTGGCGCATTTATATTTTGGTGCCCCTTTGTATCAATGTTTTTGTCCAATTAAATAAATAAGTAATATGCTGTTGCTTCATATTATACTATAAGTGTAAATCATAACCAAAAAGAGCAGAAGAAATTTATATTAGAAGTATACAGAAATAGGTGCATGCAAAATGTCACTGGCCTTTAATGGAACAACTGAGTTAACGAAGCTAACGTTGTGTTTAATTCTAAGTAATTGTGTTTAGTCGGTTGGTGATCTTATGAATTTAAATTAACTGACCTGAGTAAAATATGCGCATTGTTTTAAAAAAACAGGATGTATTCATGCAAATGAGTCTATAGTCAAATTGTTCCTTGAAGTTAAAGCTGAGGACCGGTTAACGGTAGGTAAATAGAAATATTCTGAGGAAAGAAAAAAAATTGTAAACCTAATATTCTTCTTTGAACACTGGGTTAATTTGTTTTAGTTGTGTGTATTATAAAAGACACTAGATCTGTAGTTGTCAAACGTTTGTTTACAACCATTCGAACACATTCAGTAAGCTAGTTACTTTATATGGTATGCTAAATGTATTGGACAAGGACTAGTTACATTTCTATAAGTAAATAATTTCTCATAATAGGTACTTATTTTATATGTGGAATTATATCTGATCGAAAGTTCTTGCTCTAAGGTCTTTGTATTTTGGCTTCTTTGTTTATGGCTTTTCATTAATATAATTTATTGTTCATATCACTTTTTAGAACTTTAGATTGACTCAAAACCAATAAACAATGTTTACTACAATGGATGTATATGATGCAGCTTTATCAATCGGTCGTGAATGTCAGTTAATTGTCGATGAATATGGTGATGATGTGTTAAGAGATCTAATGCCGAAAATTGTCTATATTTTGGAAGAATTAGAAGCATGTACTAGTTATTGTGATAAAGAAAAAGAAGAAATTGCTCGTCTTCAAACAGTTGCAGATGAACTTCGTAATGATCAGAAATCTGACATTATACTTAAAGATAAATATGATAAAGTTAGTTCAAGTTACTAGATATTTGATTTGTTATAATGTAGTTCACGTAGATGTATTTAACCACTTGCTTTAGGTATTTGTATTTTTTTATTATTCACCTGCTTTGTTGATAAAAGTACATAGAACTGTTTTTTCATCCATGATTCTAGTGATTTTACATTTTGTTCCGGATGTATAAAGAGAAATGGAGTTAGAATAAATTTTGGAGAATACATTTTTTGTGTATACTCACTGAAACATTAGAATCGCAAGTATACTTGAAAGGTTTATATTTGGTTAAGGCAATTTAATAATGCCGTTAGAAGTTTTATTTTATTAAAATTGTTATTTTCAATTCCGTATGCTAGTTTTTATTGCCACCTAAATTTCACTAGTAATCAGGAAAATGTAAACAATTGTGTATGTCGGCGGTGTTTATCAACATACTTCTAGAAGGTTTGATAAAAATTTGTGCTTCCACTATCATCCAAATGTAAGTCTTTCAACACTATTATGGTTTCTCAGACAATTATTGTTTCTTTATCCATCTCAAAAAAATTTCACTCGCGTTTTTAATCAGCTTTGATTGTCAAGGAAATAGACTTGTACTTCTTAAAAATGTATTCATACTATGTTATTACTTAACTTCCGTTTGCCAGGTACAGATTCGTGTATTTAGCTTCAATCCATACCCTATATGTGAGAAATAGTGATACTATCCATTTAGGCAAACTAAATTGTGTGGAGTTGGGTTTGAACCTGGGACTTGTTGACTGAAAGTCTACCATCATCGCCACTTAGTCACCGCTCAGCTTTGAATACTGAAGGCCTAGCATTAGTGCTTGAAGATCTGACATCAAAAAAGTGTTATTTCATAAAATAGTTGAATTTATTTGATAATAAGCAGTTAATATTGCTTACGCCTGTTACCATTCTTGGAGCATAGGGTGTCGATCAGGGTTCTTCAACCGACTCCGTCCTGGGCTCTCCTTTCTAGTTAATATACTATGAAAATAAACTAAACAAGTGTGTCTCAGAATTATTTGGTCTTCAAAAATCACATTTTCCTGTAATTATAGAGTTTGGAACAACTTGAACAAAGCTGGTATTGTGAAAGTCAAAAGTTATTGCAAGAAATTACTGAATTAGAACAAGAAAATGTTCGTTTAACACATCAATTAATTTCTTCTTGTCATAAAGAGGTCAGGGAACAGGACGATCCCAATGTCATACGAAATTGTGTAACGTGTGATGAATCAGATATTATATGTCCAACACCTCATCATTCAAAAGTAGGTGCTTTTTTATTAGCCACTGCAAAGTTGGGTCTTGAAGGTGTTTCAGCCAATCTTGACATGGACAAAATTTACGACAAATTAAAAAATAAACATAATGAGGAGGAATTATCTAATATGATGTCTAGTTTACTATTGGAAACAGAAGAAAGGATACAGTTAACTGAACAAGAAAGTAGGTTTCTTTATTTTCAGTAGGTTAAATAATTAAATATATGAAATATAGAAAATAGTAATTTGACCGGTAACAAGATGGTCCTTTTTTACTAAACTCTAAATTATGGTTTAAAGTCGATCTTTCGATCAAGCAAAATGATTATGAGGACTTAAGGATTCTCTTCACAAAAAGAGTTATTATCAGTAAAAAGTGATCCCAGTTAGTAGCTGTGATAACCGGATCTTTACAATGAGATTGACTTTATAAGGAGCTTTCTAGAGTTTTAGTCATTTAATAAGTCATGCTGATTCAAGTATATCTCTTTAGAGTATCGTGTATTTTATGTTTATTACTCCTAATCATACAACTAAAAGTTTTAGTGTATATTTTGACAAGTTGCCCGTCAAAGTCAACTCTAATGGTATAATAGTAAATAGATTTCGTTTTACTGAACTTTTTATCATGTTACTTTCATATGATTTAATTTCAACCATGGTGTTTGAAACAATGGCTTGATATTCAGTAAAGTATGATGTAACTACAGGAAAAAAATTGAACGCTTAAAATAACTAATCGACTTTGAAAAGAAACATTTTTTTGTGTTCCGCTCTCTTTTCTCTACTATTTTCGTGGACTATCAAATTTCGCCAATTCATATCAGTCGAACGAAGTTCTAAGGATCTGCAAATTTTAGTAATTAATGAATTAAAAGATTATTTTATAAATATGTTTGTTAATCGAATGCGACAAAATATTTGCAAGTTGTCGGTTGATATATATATATATATATATATATATATATATATATAATTTGCATATTAGTATTTCCGTATAGCTGAGACACAGCTTATGTATGAAAATTATTCGTATGGTATCGGTTTATTTACACACAAAAAACGTGAAATGGAAGCTGAGCATGCAAAATGGCTGTTAACTATGTCTATAACTCAAGTGACTGATAGTATTTTACTTTAAACGTTCATCGTTTTCACTCAGTATGTCATTAGCGTAGCAAGCCGGTAAAGTTTGGACAATGGATAATTTACGACGTTTGACCAGACACATATATCCATCGGTTGCTTTCAGCTCATCTCTATACTATTACGTGTTATCTCTTATTTATGTACCAGTTAATTAAAACTGTATCTTTCACATAAGCATGACTATTTTTTATAATTATTTATCTCCATGTTATGACCTTATAAAATATAGGACGTATGCCAATTTGTTGTGGTCTTATGTCCGGCTTTTCACCACGTGAATTATCCACCAATGGAAATATGACTTTCCAGATCTTAACACTGTACCAAATCAATGAAGTTCAACTTGTATGAGCAGTCTAGCGTCCTTATTGGTCCCTTGTTCGCCTAGCCCCTCTAATTAAGTCCGGAACACCAGTCGCAGTTTCTGCTATGCGAATAATTTATTTCAAACATACTTGGTTTATATACCAGACAGACAGATCGCATCACACCATAAAATAGAAAATAATATTTGTACAAGATTAAGCCCAAAAGTGGTTGTAAACATAGGATACAGTAATCAATAAACTAAACATAATTTGTGAACAGTAAATCGTACATTAATTATTCATAGGTCAAAATGAAGCTTATAATAAGATGAAAATAGATATACACAATCTAGTTACTCAATAGTTAACCAATAAGAATATATATAGAATAATAGTCCATTAATAGGTCCTGAAAGTTACCTGTACTTACATCTTCACTGGGATATAACACTCCACTTCCTATTGATGTTCGGTATGCATGTCTTATGCTCGTCTTTCAAATAACTATATCCACTTCATAATTTTGTATTAACTAATTAATAATTTATAATTCAGATAAATTATTAAAGTCCAAATATTATTTGTTTTAATTATAGTTCTTTTTATATTGAAATTCATACCTTATAATTCTATAGTATTGCTAAATGTACTTGATTAAGTTATTTATAGGCAAAGTAAATTCTACACTGATACTCGGTTATTGAAGTGTATTAAGTGATTTAACATTATGTTCTATATAAATGTAATAAATTTAATGGAAATGGTTTATTTAAAAGTTTACAATAGATACATTCAAGTTAGTATTTGATTTTTTATAGATCGTGCAGCTGATCTTCAACTAGTTCAACAATTAAAAGAATGTGTAGCAATTAATTACAAGACTGCACGACAAATTCGTCGTGAATTAACTGAAGTTGGCGCTTCATTAGATGCAGTAAGTGTATTTAAACAGATAATACTATTCTTTATTATTATTTTTCTCTTCGTACCCACAGTTATTCCTCCAGTGTTGTCTTTGATCCACATTGTTGTGATCATTTTCCTGGACTTTCTTGTTAAAGTGATTTCTGTTTATATTTTTTTGTTTTAAATATTATCATACATTTACTAGTGTTAACATTAGGAGATTTAATGGTGTTTAGTTCTGTGTTACACGAATCCAATCACTGTTTACTTTGATCTACAGAACTGACTAGTACGAATTAGAGTGGAAAAATAGTTAGAGGTACAAACTATCTGTTCTTTGGATCTCAAAAATAGTCGTAATCTGTTAGTTGAAACCTTAGGAAATAGATTTCTTATCTTCAAATCTTTTTTCCACCGTAGTTGACATTCTTATTGTTATTTCGATCCCATCAATTTCCGTTTTGCCGATTTTCTTTCATATTCTAATATAAAGTGTGACAACTTTGTTCGATTCACTTTTTTACTAGGTCTACTGCGTTATTACTGACAAACTCAGCATACATAAACTGGAATAGTTGGCCTTCATGTTCATTAGTCTTTAGACTAAAGAGTTATTAGTCACAAGGTCACTACTACAAAGTTGAGATTTTTACAAAGAAAATACATTTGTTTGTCTATCATGTTCATTACTGCTTTATGATCATAATATATTTAACTGCCTTTTTTCACACTATCAAACAATAATAATAATACTTCGTTAAATTGCTGTTCACAGGAACACTACAGTATTAAGGTGTAGTATTCTATATTGAGTGAATCGTAGGCATACTTTTACTGTGTAATTAACGTATAATTTAAAATCTCATCATAAGTCGGTTATTTATTTTATCGTATCAAATTGCACTAAACTAAATTGGAATTGACTGGATTGATATCAACATTTCCTAACTCAATCGTCAGAACACTAAAGCCCCGTTCACTTAGTTACTGTTTATTGGTTCAAATTTAATCGTGAACATAGTCCATTGCAGTAAATTTATTTAGTAACGAAAAATAATAATTTTATCTGACTATTAACCAAAGGATGCCATTACTAATGAAACCTCATCCTTTTGTTGAATTTTCTCATAAAACTTATTGTAGACCAGTACGAGTCCTGTAAATTGTTGAATTTCACTGAAATCATGAGCCTACATAATTTAGACAACGACTAAAAACCTGATAGCGCTGGACGGCCGTTTCATCCTAGCATAATACTTTCCAGCAGTGCGCATCCGCAACCTCGTAGCTACTGATAAAAAAGAGGACTTTCTAGCTTGCAGACGCCTAAGCTCTATACGACTGAGCCAGGATCGAAGAGTGTGCAAGTCTAACTTCAGCCAATCTACGACTCCCGGCCACGGGGTCGTTGTTTCTAATGGTTGTTTAACATAAGTCGGTTAATGATTTCAATCTATTGTAGGTGTTATTATTTGATTTGTTGGATAGCAGTATTGTTGTAATTAATTATCGCGTGATTTATTCGCCAATTGAAATGCGACTTATACAATCTTAGTACTGTGCCAATGAAGTTCAAGCGGTATGAGCAGCCTAGCGCCCTTATTGGTCCTTTGTTCTCCTAGCCCTTCAAGTTGAGTCCAGTACGCCAATAACAGCTTCCACTATGCAAATCATTTATTTCAAACATACCAGCCAAATAGACCGCATCACACCATAAAGTAGGAAACAGCATATACACAAGATCAAGCCAAAAAGTGGCTTTGAACGTGAGCATAAATTAAGAATAGTAAATCGTATAATAATCTATATGTCAAAATGAAGTTTATGATAAGAAGAATATAGATATGCATAATCTGTTTACTAAATAGTTATACAATAAGAATATGTATACAATATTAGTCCATTAATAGTTCTCAAAAGTTACCCGTAATTTAATCTTCACTAGAATATAACAAATAGCATTAGAAAAACCATAGACGAATACAAAATCAAGAATCAGGTCAAAGGAAAGAGATAGACAAAATAAATATGTAGAAAACAACAAGTTAAAGGTTAAAAATAACCAATTAAGATCAAAGTCAACTGAACAAACTGAGTCATATGATGAGCAATCTGAATATCTCACTTCTACTTATCATTTGTATAGAGGGTGTTGTCCAGAGGAACAATCATATTTTCACGACAAAACAATCTAACTCAGAGGACGAAACTCCAAAATCATGCATGTGTACTACAAACCTCTACCATTGTCTAGCGTAACCTGTAGCTGGGTCGTAACTTCTTTGAGTTTTTCATAAACTTTTCGAAATCAAATAGAAATTTCAGATAAGATGGTAAACTATCTTTTATAATTATATGAGTTTTTATCATTTAAAACCAAAGGGGATAGTTTATGATTTTTTAGGAAAATTGATGTATAATAATTGATAACGTAGATGTTTATTGAAATATTGAACTTGTTTTGTTGCTGTATCCTTTGATTGGCTTTGTTTTTTCTTCAAAGTCAGAAGAAGAAGTTTGTCGTTTGGCTCGTCAAAGTGGTCAATTATTAGCATCTTGTGCCCCTCATAGACGTCAAACTGGTCAATTAGTGTCAGAAAAAGCTACACTTGAAACACAGTTATGTGTAAAAGAACGAGAATTGGCTAATTTACTGAAAGATTTATCAAATAACGATATGTCACATAATAACCAATCTGGAATAATGGTAATATTGGCTTCAGGTTACATAATTTGATTGTTTACATCATTGGCTAGTCATTACTGTGTTTTGTGCATAGATAAAATTTATTGACATCGGACACTACTCAATGATAAGTTAGTGTAAATATCCCAGTCTTATAAGAGGTTGGCCGCTGTTTGAATGGCGTCTTGGGTCGTGATACTCAATGATTTGGATTTTAGTTCACTTTGGAGCATCAGTTCCCTTAATATTAGAGGTACAACTCGCTGATGGGTCCCAACTGGTTCGAAACCTTGGTGAAGGAGCGTTTCTTGTTCACTATCTCTAACCACCTAACACGTATTCAAAAATATATTAGCTTCATAATTTTCATGACTGATAGCCTTGAAAACATAACATTATTATTATTATTATTATTACTCTATCAGTTTGGATAGTTCCATGTTGTTAATATTCAGGAGTTTGTAAAATACATCGATTTATCAACAGTGATAATTACATATGTAGTTTAGTTGCCTTTAATAACAGAAAGTAAATACTTTTCTGAAGTTGTATCTGAGCGACTTCGTTACTAGATTTAAAACTATTTTCAAGACGATTTTCATCTAAACTCGAGTCATTGAGTCTTATAGTTAATATATTAGCAGTCGATCAAGGTTTTGGGAACATTTGTTATATAAGATTAACCACTGCCTTCCTCAACGTCGAGTGATGGATAGAGTTCGAGTACGAAACTTGGATATAAGCTTAAGGGCAGCCAAATCCTAACGTGGCATTAGTCCATGAAATCATTGACTGTTGATCTGAGTCATGTTACTAAGTACAGACTACCTGGTTGAGGTCAGCGTGATAACCACGATCAGTGGTTGGAGTGAAGACATTGTGTGACATGGCTTAGCATCGGTCCCAGCGACTCAGGTGCATTCATTCTTTGTCATTCTATAGATTTTAAGTTCCAGTATTCTTTCACGTATACCTGTTAATTCCGTCTTCCTGAACCATATTTTTAATGCTTCGTTTTTATCATTATTAATGCTGCTACAATTATTTCGAACCCTTTGGTATTCATCTTGAGTGGATTTTGGGGATAACAGTTTAGCTTGTGTTTTTTATCACAGACTGACCTAAGTTGGGCTATTATTGAAAACCAAAGAGCACCGAACAACTGTCTTGTCCTATTACTAGACTCTGCAACCGTGCACACTCATGGCCTCACTAGAGATCGAATTCAGTACATTCAGGTCTGGGGGAAAAACTTAAAAACACTGTGTTAGTACCTAATGTTACCGTTGCGATTCCAAGCAGTTCACGAGATAGCTCAGTGATCATTCAACGCCAGTGATTAAAACTTTCACTCTCGACATGTCTGAACTCCACTAGTCACAACTACTTAATCAGAACTCAGGAACATGTTGAAGCAAGTTACCAATGAGCCGACGGTTATAGTTCAGTTGAAAGTTTTATAGAGATTGATTTGATTTGTGTGCTGTGGATTATCACAGATTGATCCTTAGTTTTCAGTAGTGCCCCAAATGAGATCAACGTGTATGACCAATACAACCCACAAATTATTATTAATTTTCTTCTACATACTGTAAATCACTGTTTCTTTCTCCTTTACGTTTAACTTTGTTGTTCAAAACATCAAGTCGAATACATGTGAATCAATACTACAATTACCTGCCGGACAAGGTTTAGAATCAATTAATTTTGAACAAGAATCAAATAGTACTAATAAATATATCTCTGTAGAAGAATTACGTTATCTGCTACATGAACGAAATGAACTTAAATGTCGACTAATTGAATTGGAAGAAGAATTGAGACTGTTAGAGTTAGAGAAGTATGTCATCCTGTTCTTTTATTATGCTATTTTTAATGTTATTATTGAGGTAGAGGTGAATAGTTTTTGTCACAGATCGACATCACTTACACAATTATTGAAATTCAGTGAGGGAAAGAGTTAGTTAATTGCCCCCACAATACCCAGTATACTGACAACCACCGTGTGCTTACTAGTGACTAGCTTGGACAGCTAATTCCGAAAATCCTCTGGTCTGAAGTTATGAATAATTGAGTTCAGTCCTATCAAAAATCCACTGATCAATACGAAGTCGACCACGCTGGGATAGAAATAGCCGTTACTGATTGGGTATAAGATAAGGGTCGTGCCGTATTGTCCGTCGATTGAAGCTTCAGGCTAAGCCAGAGAGTCTTGAATCCAACACCATGTTTGATCATGAGCACGCATTTTTGAAGGACTTCAAACTAGAAAGAAGTGGCTAATCACTTCATTGTGATTTTGTTAAATAGTTGCAGACGTTATGTTAATCTAATCCATAATGAAAACTGCATCCATTTGCAAATTGTTGACTTAGCTTATTTTGATAATTGATTGTTACAGATAATAGATTTTCTGAGTTGAGATTCCGGTAATTCAGTTAAATTCAGTCAATTATCAAAATGGTGTGTATGAAACTTACATTGTATGGATCATTCATTAATAATAAAATGTAGTCATCTATGTGTGGGGCTTCATATTCCAGTTAATCATGGATAAATTCACTCCATGTTTGTATTAACAGAATGATAAATACATAGACTTGTCATCATTACATACTTTCATTTTTTCAATAATTATGCAGTTCAACTGTCTTTTTATGTAACAAAATGTTTATTCCGTCACCGTCTACTTGGATACCCAGTGTTTGCTGGTGTAGGAGTAGAAGTTATGAGAAAGGTAGGGGCGAACAAACCTGTTAAACTGATACTCCAGCTTTACTGTCTGAACAGGTACCGTTTATCTCTTTTAAGTCATGACTGACTTCTGATACGACTGAGATATTTGCAATTGATTGAGGGTTTCTAACTATCTATCTCTGATCATTTATTACAAAAGTTTAAGAAATTTCTCACTTTCTAGCTGTTATCAAATAAAGTGAAAGTTGTTCTAAAATTGTACAAACTTTAGGGTACGCCTATGATGAGGGTTGATGAGATGCCCCTTCCAGCCGTACATTATGGTAAAAACGACTAACTTTACTGAATCTACTATGTCAAAGTATGCGATAGTCACTGGGATGGCATTACTGTTGACTTTTACCTTTGGAAATATAAGTTACATATACAAATAAAACCCCTGAGTCGAAGACCTGTGCATCGGATAGTACACACCTAGTCATCGATGATGTACAAGGAGATTAAGATGGTTTCCTCTCCCATATTTGATGTTTTGTACCCATATAACTTGTATCATTAGTAACTATCAATCTGTGTTTCGACAAAGTAGGTGATCAGCTTAATATTCTTTTGTCCTTCCATGTTAGTCCGTTGGACGTTTTCCATTGTCTCCAAGGGAACCACAGGGAGGTGTTTGAGGGTAGGTCTTGCTCGGAGTTGGTGAGGTATTTTTCCGGACCACTTGAAACGAAACTGTGTTGACGTGAGCGAGTGGTGGAATCTATTATTTCGTAATTGGAAATTGTATATCTAGTCCAGTAAGTTATGGACTTTTTTTATTACAAAATGAAACCAAACTAGATTCTTGTGCCATCAACAGTGGTAACTATTGAGTAGAGTAGTTTTTCTGTATCCCTTGAAAAACATGTTTCCATAAAAAATGTATACACTCTTAGAGTTCAATGGTTAACCTTTTTCGTAACATACTTCTTGTCAAGTCAAAAGGATCCAGAAGTAGAAGGACCTATGTTGCCTGAACCACCTGAAAAACTTCGTCCAAATTGGGAAAACCGTTCAACTATAAAAACGATGTAAGTTGATTAGCTTTCTTTTAATATTTTCTGTTTTAACTGCTAGGGAAATAAAATGATTTTTTAAGACTAAATTTATAATTCTAGTTAAGAAATAATTTACAAAAATATTTTCATCAAAAGGATTTCTGTTTTCAATGATTTTATTTTTAGAAGTTATACAGTTGTAGTGCATTTTCATCGACTGGAGCTGTTGGAACTTGGTTCATGTATGCCCAATCACCGCCTACCTTGACACGCAATGTCTAATGCTGTGTAGGTATTGGCTAAAAAACTAGAGCCCACCAATCCGAAAGGTTATATCGATCCATTAAGCGATTACTTATTGAATTGAGTGATATAAGTAGGTGTAGAATACATGGTTGAAGTCCACACGATTATCGTAACAGTGGTTTGGTACGTTGTATGATGTGGCTCAGACGCACTTAATTTTGATCTCTCAGATCTTGAATATTAAGACTATTTCCTAACTTCTATCACGCAAATCCATTCGTTCTTCTTGAATGGTACCGTTTATGCGTAGTCTTTTCTACCGCCGCTACTACTGTAGTGTAGTCTACTTATATTCATATAAGTAGTATATGGCAATGGTTAGACATAGAATGTATTTTGGCAGAAGACCGATAAGGAAAGAACGCAAATGAATCGCAATCGGTATGAAAATGCATGAACAATGAACTGATATTTACAGGATGAACAGTGAACATTGAGATAATTGTTTGTTATTTTGCAAATTAACTGTTTGTTGTATGGTTATCAGAATTTAGTGAGATAGTCTGTAATTTTTGTCGAAATACATTCGATTGTCCCCAACTAGTGTTCTGTTCACTACGCTACTACTACTACTACTACTACTACTAATAATAATAATAATAATAATAACAATAAAACTAGTATTGCTAACGCTAATATTACTCCAACTTGCTTGCTATTTGTCTTGATAATTTCATCTATGTCGACTTGGTGTGTCAGCATCGGCTGATATATATATATATATATATATATATATATATATATATATATATATATATATATATATATATATATATATATATATATATATATGCTATGTTCTACGCCAAACCATGAATTCGTCTCGTTGATTTTGTTCTATTGTACCGATTTGAAGCATACAATGCAGTACTGATGCACACTCTGGGTAGATTCTACTGTTGTTAAACTTTCGTTTTAATTAAATTTTATCATCTTGTTTAACATCGAAAAATCTTTCAATCCAGACATTAATTGGAGAAAAGGACTGAATAAATGTATACCTGTTGTTTAAATTTACATATATCAGTATGTTTTAATTTCTTCTGTCTAGCAGTTGCTTTTTTATTGTTGTTGATTTTTACTCATCTCTCTTTTTCTAGCTTTCAAAATCTTCTTCATCATTTAACTGAACGTGCTACAACTATGTTATCGTGAAGCAATAGTGGATGTTTATATTGGATAACATTCCCTACACAAGATTCTTTTGAGTTAATATCTGCATTTTGTAATCCTTTTGATTATTTATTTATTTGATGGAGATTACGTAATTTGTTTTGTAAGAATTTGAAAATGTTTATTTATCTTAGATTGCATAATACATTAATAATCCTAATAAGAGTCATAGTGATAAATATATGTGATTGTATCCGTCTGTGATATAAATGTCTTTGTTTAATTCACTTGGACTTGATCATTTTATGCTTTCTATGTTGTGCTTTCTATTGAATTAAAAGAAACTCTTCAATTGTCACTTTTAAGTTTTGTTGTCACTAATCATAATGTGTGTTTCTCTTTGTAAAGTTGGTCAATCTGTTTTGGTCACTTAACATTGGTGATAAAATTTATCTATTTACTAATACTACTTTATTTCAGTTGGTAGTAAGCATTGTAGTCATGAATTAAGTTGTATGTGATTTATTTACTGTTTTATGATTTTGTTTAAATATTTTTTTAAAAAAAGGTTATATAATTGTTTATTGTTATATCCATAATTAATTAACTCATATGAATGCTTTTTATTATTTGTTTAAATGAATAAACAGAATATATTCAAATTATTAATAATTTATGTGTTGTGATTCTTCAATGATTGATCTCAGTTGGGGCACTGTAGTGAACAGAACACTAGTTGGAGACAATCGAATGTATTTCGACAAAAATTACAGACTATCTCACTAAATTCTGATAACCATACAACAAACAGTTAATTTGCAAAATAACAAACAATTATCTCAATGTTCACTGTTCCTTCTGTAAATATCAGTTCATCTTCTCTAAATTCATTGTTCATGCATTTTTCTACAAATTGCGCTTCATTTGCGTTCTTTCCTTATCGGTCTTCTGCCAAAATACATTCTATGTCTGACCATTGCCATATACTACTTATATGGATATAAGTAAACCGCACTACAATACTATTAAAAACTAGAATAGCTGTTTCATTCTAGTATAAGAATATTAAGGAATGAGCACGGACGACTCCGTGATGTATTTAACTTAGAACCTACAAGACTCTCAATGAATTAATTATGTGGGGTCCAATGTTATAATTTCAAATTCAATCACTTTTTGAGATACTGTGACGATTATTCAATGCTATTAATAACAACTGTTTCACTTTCAACATGTTTGAACTCCACCAGTTACGACGTTTTACTTAGACTTCAGGAATATGTTGAAATAAGTCGCTATTAATCTGAATATTATAGCTCATTTGAAGTTTTGTGTAGATTGGTTTAATAAATGGATTGTATTCGTCATAGATTTATCTTAGTTGTAGTATTATTGAAAATCAGGATGTACTGAACAGATTTCTCATCCTAATATACGATTCCTCAGTAGCTCACACCTACGATCACAGTAGGGTTAGGACCATGTATTGCATCCAACTGCTATTTGTGTGTCTTGGAAAAATGTAGACTTAACTTGGGTTAAGCGATTTTGTATAGGATTTAGTAATATTTGGCGATGATTCGAGGTGGGCCATAAAATTTGAACCTAAAACCTTTTAGTTAAGACCCAAGTATCTTAATTTTTAGTTTACTGCCGCTGAGGAAGAGTGCCGTACACTTTAGTCACGAGGTTATAGATAGTTAGATAGAAATCCTAAATGAAACTAGAGGATATTTAGATTTATTCCCGCCAACCACTAGCAGTTAATTAGGTAATGTCATCAGTAAACTATTTCTATGCTATCCTTTAAACTTTATTATTACTTTGGAGCTCTTTGAATAATTATTTTTGTCATATTCGCGTTGCCTATTATTTTTACCTGAAGACGAGGAACCACTACGCGAAGGGTGATACAAACGGAGATTTATCCACTCAAAAACACACAACAACCCTAGCTGAAAGTACATTAGTTTATCTTTAGTGGTAAATATATCCAAAAATAAATAGTTATGAAAATGTTCTACATTGATACTGGCCTCATTAATTTCACTGAACACACCCTAGCTGAAGGTGCTCGGTCGCACATCCACAGCAGATCACCATTGCGCATGCCATGCTACACAACCCTCGTAATTTTATCTCATCATCCTATCGTATCAATTTCTATATCAGGATTAATATTGGTATTCGGAAACCAAACACAAAGACAACGAACTTTATTAAGCAGTTGAGTACAGTCAGGTCAAAATATACTTGGTATATTATAGCATCTTTAAATAACAAATCTAATTCTTATACAAGATAAATTAGTTTGGTAGCATTTTCAGAAAATGAAACATTCTCAATCTCTGATGTGTTCATCACGCGATGTCAGAGCATTCTAAACTGAATTACTATTTGATCACTACTTGTCTTTATCGTGTTATTTATACTACTAGTTTCTAAAAGTAGCTTAAGTGTAAATTCTGAGGATTTATTTACATCAGCGAAAATTTAGAACTAAAATAATCCAGTTGAAAATTATACCTAAGTTTTGGTCGTTTTCAATGATTTTTATAAAATCTACCTTCCTTAATTATGCCAATACCCCTGATTCGGTTTGGAATACAACAAGCAGACAAATGTTTTAACTAACACAAATATACATCAGAACACGTTGCCAAAATTAAATACAAATACAGTGAGAGGAGATTATTTAGACAAAACTTCCAGGAATCAATATTATATTAGTATTACTGACAATAAAATGTATATTGAACATAAGAACCATACACCTAAAAGTATACATGAAATCTAAGAATAATAAGTGTTGAAATAAAGAATGAATCTATATGTAACCTTAGTAAAAGTTTACATATAGATTATGGCGTAAGAGTAGGTTGGATGAAAGCTAGGGGTGGCCAGTCCAAAACATGGCACAAATCCATGAAGTCACTGACAAGTGGACTGAGCCATATTGGTAGGTGCAGACTACCTGGTTGGGATCCACGAGATGATAGCAATCGATGGTTAGTGACCTTGAATGACATGGCTCAAAATCATTTGCAATGACAAAGGTGTATCTACTCTTTGTGTTCTCCCGAATTCTAATTTTCTGAATCCTTCATGTTTCTATCTCTTTTCTTTTTTCAAATTTATTTCACTGGATTATACTTCTTCAATGACATCTTCAAACCCTAATCTTTCACATTATTGCTTATACTCTTACTACTGTGGTGTGGTCTACTTATATTCATATAAGTAGTATATGGCGATGGTCAGACATAGAGTGTATTTTGGCAGAAGACCGATAAGGAAAGAACGCAAATGAATCGCAATCGGTATGAAAATGCATGAACAATGAATTTAGAGAAGATGAACTGATATTTACAGAAGGAACAGTGAACATTGAGATAATTGTTTGTTATTTTGCAAATTAACTATTTGTTGTATGGTTATCAGAATTTAGTGAGATAGTCTGTAATTTTTGTCGAAATACATTCGATTGTCCCCAACTAGTGTTCTGTTCACAACACTGCTTTGACCACTATGAGATTTGAATCGACAACTGCATCTCTGTGCTAATGTGGTGTGGCAACTCGAACTGATGTACGTACGTATGAAGTTCTACGTTGTGGTTGACTGACTGACTGATGTAACCTTAGTAAAATACATGAGCCATTACAATTATTAATTAAAATTACAGTACAATCGTTTGTTAATTACATAATTGTCTTGTCATTTTTTTCTCTGTACTTTGCAGCTGAAGATAAAATCCTATAAATCATAGTTTATATTCATGTTTTGTACTAAACAATAGAATATTCTCCAGTATTTGATTTATCTCAATAATCATGGGTTATTAGGAGTAAATATAAATTACAGTCACATATCAATATAAGTATTGTTTGTATGAATGATTGCATAGAAGAAATATAAACAATATATTATTTGGGTATATACATATGTATCTATGTGAATACGTACTATTTCCTGGATAACAGATACTCTTAATATCAAATGTTAGTAAGATAATTGAAGTCTAACAATTTTGAGAAATGGGTAAAGATTACGCTGGAATTTATTTATTAATTACAGATAATAAAAGTTAAGTTATAAAATATTGGCGATTTATATCTTTTGAACATTTATTTATATTTTGGACACTGTCGAAAAAAAAGCATATTCAGCAGGAATTTGTTTCAACACAGTAAGTTCATGCTGAGAATACTTTACTGTAAATCAGATATATAGTTTTGGATAATGTTATAATAATAATAATCTGTGGTTAGCGTTTTTTAGCGAGTTGGTTTTTCACGGGATGGGGTCGCTAACTCCATGCCCAACCCTCCTCCTTTACCCGGGCTTGGGAACGGCAGTAGCCTCCGGAGGAGCTACAGGTGGAGTTAATAATAATAATAATTATTATTATGACCTAGTGATCTGTAATCACAGAATTTAACTTCTTGCTTGTAAATATGACAACATTTAGTTAAATTATCAATCATTAAGTGAAATGATCTAGTTGTAAGAAAAATCTTTTCAACCTAAGCTTTATACTATTTGGCACTTGTCAACAAGGTATACATGTAATCTTTATAAAACTGCTATCCCCTGATGAATTCGAATTCGTATTAAGTAATTTCACTATCTTTAATTCTATCACCGTGGTATTCAGACAGATAGAATTCGATTAGTACTAAAGGAGTAGATATACCTAACATTGATTTCTATTCAGGTATCAATTAGTGTTTGAACTGATGATTGCTGGTCAGACTGTTGTTTTTAATCATAATACAAATTCAATACTACCTTACTAATCCTAAGTAAATGAAGTACATATTCATTGGTTGTATTCTCTTGTCATAAATAACAACAGTAATAATATTAATGTTTAATAATAATTACTTACATTAGATAAATTATAGATCAAATTATTAAAATCAGAGAAGGTTTTGTAAAGATTTAGTATTTTCAAAGCTGAAAGCGTGAGTCAATTGAAGCTAAATCGCAAGGGAAAACCTGGAAGCACTGGACGGCCGTTTCATTCTATTCATATGCTCGCTAGTGACTGACTTCGAGAGGTAAATCCTGGAGTTCTAGTGAGAAGCAGTGACCAGTGGAGTTCAACCACGTCTGTTGTGAGATAGGAACTCATTGAAGACAATTGGTGAACGGTTGCTCAACTTCGTGGATTGATTGGAGTTAGACATAAACACCATTTGATGCCGGCTCAGTTGTCTATGGGTTAAATGCTCTGGCGCGAGACTGGTAGGTCCTAGGTTCGAATCTCGTCGTGGATGCGTTGATGAGTCCTACAATAGGAGGAAACGGCCGTCCAGTGCTTCCAGGTTTTCCATAGTGGTCTGGCTTCAATTGACTAACACTTCCAATTATTTAGAGATTAATATATGAACGAAGAATATTCTTTTAGATAAATTCTCTCCAGGATCTACAATTATATATCCAAATTAATAATCTGAAAAAATGGTATCAAATTATCGTTATTACTTTTATTTATTTTTTATTTGTAAAATTAATCAAAATAACGTCTGAAATTATCTTTTCCTGTTTTTCTGTCTTTATTCTAGTCGAAATATTAAAATGTACAGGGGGGTGGTGTTTTGTTGTTGTTGTTGTTGCTGTTGTTTAAACTATTTGTACATACATAATATGGGTTATAATCTGAACCATTTTCATGTTAAATTATAAAGAGAAAGTAAAATAATCAGGATTATTATAACTTTTTATATAAAACTTCAATGAACTACTGTGAATAAAGGTATATTGGAAATTAGTGCATGTGAGAGAGAGAGAAAGGGAATATGAAAGAAAATGTTATGTGAATATGTTTTGAATTTACTAACTTTTAGAATATAATTATATACATACAAAGTCATTGCTTGTATAATATAGGTCAATAGAATTCGATCATTACTTAGAATTGAACAAATATGACATTATATATAGTTGAAATCATTAGTCAATTGAAGCCAGACCACCATGGAAAACCTGGAAGCACTGAACGGCCGTTTCCTTCTATTGTAGGACTCATCAACAGTCCGCATCCACGATCTCACCTCACGAGATTCGAACCTAGCGCCTGTCAGTCTCGCGCGAACGCTTAACCATTAGACCACTGAGCCGGCATCCGGCCGTTCAGTGCTTCCAGTTTTTCCATAGTGGTCTAACTTCAATTGACTCATGATTTGAACTACATAAAATTAGTAAATTCTCCACAAAACTCCCTTCAAATATGACATTAGTTAATATTCAGTAACAAATCGATAAAATATTTAATTTTCATAATAGGAGCTAGAATAATTTAATGGTAACCTTAAATAATACTAGATGATAGAAACTCAAATCAACCGAGAAGCATTCTTTTACCTAAGGTTGAAGGTTTATCTTAATGAAAAGTACCACTTCGTGTAAAATCCTGATTCACCACTTCTTATTGTTTAATTTTAGCCATTTGACATGGAGTTTTATGAATTTACCTCCTTTGGTAATTGTTCTTACTTTTACACTGTGAGGCGAGTAAATAGTTTGAACAGTTCGTGAAATAATGTCAATTTCTATTAGAATGTTATCATCTTAAAAATATTTACTTACTCACGCGTATCACCCTTCATGGAGAAGCATCGGCCTCACACCTGCACTCTCTATCCAATCCTGTCCTGAGCTATCTTTTCCAGTCGTTTTTAGCTGCTAATCATCCTTTTCGTGTCTGTTTCTAATTCTAAACGCATTATGTTCTTTGGTCTTCCTCTATTCCGTCTACTTCAGGGTTCCGAGTTAGCGCTTACCTCGTGATGCAGTTTGGTGATTTCCGTAATATATGTCATATTCAATTCAAGAGTCTATGCCCAATTTCCTCTTCAGCTAGCAGCTGCTTTGTTTTCTCCTACTGCAGGCTGTTGCTGATGGTACCGTAAAAATAGGATTGATCTCATTTATGTCTCATGATTTACTAAAAACCACAATATTAAGTCCATCTAATTATTTATTTCGAAACCAATTTATAATGGTAATATAATGTTTTTGTCAGATAGTCGTCAAAGGCACTTCATGATGAGTTTTTACTTACATATGTATGTTAATGTACAACGACTACACATATGTTTATGATATTCGGTCGTCAGCGGAAAATGAATTTTTGAAGTAATCTAAAACTGTATTATAAAGTTTGTGAAGGCAAACCAATTTTCTTTTAAGTTTGTTATTCTATCTAAAAAGTATTTCTTGTAAACTAACAATTTAGTTAAAAGAGTCTTGTGGAGATTAGCTTAAATTAATGGTTGCATTTATTTAAGATCTCGTATAAAGTTTAATTTTACAACCAGGGAGTGCTGTGCAGCTGTTTCATCCTAGTATAAAGCTTCTCTCAACATCGCATACCTGCAGTGTTATCTGCAATCAAACGTAGGAGCTTCAATTAACATAGTATATAGATTAATTCCAAAACTATTTCATTTTAATGCTAACAGAGCAACTTAGCCTATTTTTCAACTGACTTATCAAGTGAAAATATGTGTTCAAGTTCGAGGTTCAATGTTTTTGTATGAAATGATGTATCTGCTCAAACTGAAATAGATGATGTATGTTTTAGACTTGTAGGCCACTGATCAAAAATTGATTTATTTTTTCAATGATGCATAATAAGGAGTCTTCACTATAAAATACAACATACTGTATATATGTATTAGTTTAATACACTTACCTCATAAGGTTCAAATATTTGAACATGAGTTAAGAAAATTGACTTTTGCTTGCAAAAACATAATCAAGTATATATTCTCAAAAGATAACAAATAGCTATTTATTTTAAGGAAGAAATGTTTCACATCATTTTAATTGCCATAGTCTATTCATTGTATATTCATAAAGGTTTCTAAGTTGACAATTAAGAATGGATTTTATTCAGCATCTATTAAGATTTATGCATCTTTAGCGAACTATCTTGGTTTGGACATCTTTGTTTATAGATAACTTTATAAGTTTTGATTTTATCTAAGAGTAAAATTGACAAAGCGTGTTTCGCTCTAAACAAAACTTGTCGAGTTTGAACACGAACTTTATCTGTCTGGTCTCAAATATTAAGAAACACGTGCCACGGGTTACATTGATGGACAGAGACAAAATATGTTGGTTATTCTTTCGACTTTATGTATGTGATAGGTAATCAGAGGACAAACCAGCTTCCAGCTGAAGGGAAAATTAGGAAAAGACGTTGAAAGTAGATTGGACGTACATTAAGGAAATCACAAAACTTCATCACGAGGCAAGCCCTTACTTGGAATCCGGAAGGGAAGCGGAAAAGAGAAAGGTCAAAGAACACATTACGCCATGAAATAGAAGCAGATATGAAAAGGATGAATGTTAACTGGAAGGAACTGGAAAGGATTGCCCAGGACAGAGTTGTTTGGAGAATGCTGGTGGTCGGCCTACGCTCCTCGACGAGGGGTAACAGGCGTAAGTAAGTAAGCAATCAGATAATAGGGAAGATTTGTAGCTCGGATGGATGATTTTGGTGGAATTTAGTTCTTAGAGCTGAATAACGTGATTATAAAATTAACGTTTTTGGGAAAATAACATTATGAGAACGAAATTCAGGTAGAAGTTTGTTCTAATAATATTGTTTAGCGAAACAATGAAAGCTCCATAATTAAATGATTCAGCACAGAGAAGAAAAATTCACCAAAATGTAAGATAATCTATTATACAGTTCATAATAGTATCCCTACTCTTATTTGGTTACAAGAATTCATACATACAACAACAGGTATATTCAGAATGGAACTAAAACATGCTTCGGTTATATACTTATGGTGTTTGAATAAACCAATGATTCCTTCGTATTGATGATTGTTTTGACTTTGAATTCCAAATACAGTACATTCGTTCGTGCTCATCTAATACTTCTTGATTAAATTGAGTTATTACTGGGATTACTAGTTCATATTATAATTCAAATACTCTTAGTAATTACCGTATTTCACTATTTTTGCAACGAATTTTTTATTATTTTACGATTAAAATTTGATCAAAAACTTAAAAATCAAGAAAAACCGTGTTTCCTTTACAACACATCAAAAAAAAATAAAACTTGAAAATTATTTTGATTGGTTAAAACAATTTTTCATTTCTAATTTAAATAGAAGTTTATCATTGAAGATGATGATCAAAGTAAACATAATTAAAATTAAATTAGTGTAAAACAACGTGTTTTCTTTGATTTGCTTTTCTTTTCCAATTCAGTTTGATAATGAAATAACAATGAATAGAATCACTTAATGTATATGTACGTATACTTGAGTAATGTAATATCTTTAATACATGTTATTTAATATCAAAGTGATCTATTTAGTATCATTTATCTATTTAATTCTGTATTAAAACAAGCACTATTCTATCCAATTAGTAAGATTGTATACTTTTCTTATTTTAAGTTTAATAAACAAAAAAAATACGAAATTGTACTAATTCAAAAGAAAAAAACTTAAAAAAATATTGTACATTGAACGGAAAAAATTAATTAAATTATTGATTTAAACAAAAAAAATTTAATTGAAACGGTGAAACAATGTATTCTAGTCAATATTTAATTTTTTATTATATATTTATTATAATTTCTATGGAAATAATTATGGTATTAAATGAATCAAATAATAGTAAGTTAAATTTATTTTATTTATAAAATATTTTATATTATAGTAATATTTACTTGCTTACTTACTTACTTACTTATGCCTGTCACTCCCAATGGAGCATAGGCCGCGGACGAGCATTCTCCAACCCACTCTGTTTGTGGGTCTTTTTTACTAGTTCTATCCAATTTTTGTTCATTCTTCTCATGTTTGTCTCCGTTTCTCGGAGTAATGTGTTCTTTGGTCTTTCTCTTCTCCTTTGACCTTCAGAATTCCATGTGAGGGCTTGTCTTGTGACACAGTTGGGTGCTTTCCTCAATGTGTGTCCTAACCACTTCTAGCACTTCTTTCTGATTTCTTCCTATGCTGAAATCTGGTTTGTTGTCTCGCACAGTAGGTTGTTGCTGATAGTGTTTAGCCAACGGATCCGAAGTATGTTGTGTAGACAACTGTTAATAAACACCTGTATCTTCTGGATGATGGATTTCGTGGTTGTCCAAGTTTTCACCTTGTAAATTTGTATTGAAAATTCGGATCTTTGTGTTGGTTGACAATTGTTTTGAGTTCCAGATGTTTTTCAGTTGTAAATATGCTGCTCTTGTTTTGCCGATCCTTGCCCTCACATCTGCATCAGATCCACCGTGTTCATCAATGATAGTAATATTTAATTTAATATATAAGTATATAGTGCTATAGTTCAAATAAGTACATGAATCTTATAATTTGCAAGTTAAATTTTCTTTTGAAAAACCAATTTATTACTTATTTATGATGAATTAATTTGATTTTAATGTTACAAGAGTTTTATTTATCATCAGATAGTATAAAATACATGAATGCATGAATTTATACGAAATATATATAGTTAGTTATGAGGAATTCACTTGATATTGTTTAGTTGATTTTTCCCATTGATGTTTAAGACTGCAATTCATCAGTCTCTTATTGGCATATGTGCATACTCTGCGTATTGGTTCGATATAACCTTAATTCACAAGTATTATAAGCAGAGATGAACAGTGGCTAGCGGTGGAATCCAGGACTCGAGTTTGTCCTATTTGGGACTCAGCTGAATGTGCCTAGGTGAACATTGACACTGAGATGCAGGTACATCCAACTGAGGAGTTTCAAATAGGACGAAACACGCATCGTTGATACCACCGCTAGCCACTAGCCATCTCTGCTTAAAGGTATGAGGAAGTTTCAAAATTTTGTGTTTATTGACCTGGATAGATTGGCGGTGAGATGTTTTTCTTCTGTCTTTTTAAATGATATTATTAGTATATATTTTAAATAAAAGCTTCTATGACTAAATCGTTCAGCTCAGAAAACAAAACACTTTTATAAAGGATGAATAATTAAAATCATACAGCTTTGCATGACTTTTTCACTTTTATTTTCCAGAAATGCTTGTACATTAACATATATTGGTTCTGATTAGTATATTACAAGTCATTCAGAGTACATATTACTATTTAACCATTTAATTCAAAACCTAAGAATTGTTATTATTATTTTGCAATACAGTTTTACGAAACATTCTATTATACTTATGTTGTTCCTTTTTACTATTGAATCTTGGATTAATTTTGATTTAGTCATTTAGTCTCTAAAGAAGTGTCTTACACTGGGTCACGAAATATCAGAGAATTTGATTTTTTCTACTCATTAGGATATTACAAATATATTATCTATTTATTTATTCTATTATATTTTTTTATTCATTTCAAAGTATTATTATTACATACAGTATTTGTTAAAAATGCAAAACTTTAAACAGAATGTAAATTTTATAGTTAGACCATCATGGAAAACCTTTAAGGAATGGGACTCCTCAGCAGTGCCCATCCACGATCCCGCCTCACGAGATTTGGACTTAGGACCTAACAGTCCCGCACGCGAGCACTTAACCACTAGACAACTTAGCCTGCCGGCATCTAATGGTGTTAATGTCTAACTTCAACCCATCCATGATTGTAAATTAACCAATAGATGTTACCATTTGTTTTCAATGACAGAAAAGTTCTTGATTCATTAATTTCTTTAAAATATAGTTTTGAATATTTTTAATTTTGAGCATAATTTATGAATATAAACAAACCTGTAAAAGAAAATAATGTTAAGGCCATATTTGATTAAATCATTGTCAACTCATAAATTGAACATATTTTAAAGTAAATAACTTATATTCACATAATTCAACTAAACTGATGATATTAATACGATTAAACAATTGTTTAAAAACAGATTTATTGAATCAGTGTTTATGGTGAGCTGTCATATGAAGTGTTGTTCGTCAGGTTTGGCTATTTTTCTTCTATTCTTAATGAATTTCATTATTGATATTCTTGCAAAGATAACGTTTTCGTTGTTCGATTTCTTCAAGATTGATCTTATATCAGGTAATTTACTTACTGACTCTGAATATGCAGATGATATAATTTTGTTTGGTGAAAATGTAAATAAAGTGTATAAGTCTTTTGATCGTTTTGAACTAAAGTCGAAGTAAAATGTTGATCTATGTCAGTGCGTAAGCTGACAACTGAAATGTTTATTATTTACATTATTATCAAGAAGCTTAGAATAGTTTACGAAATAGGATTTTGGAACTACTTTTTGTTAATTTTTGAAACATTTAAAAATATAAATAAATCTTTAAAAAATGTCTTTTCCATACTCGGTGTCTAGATGTGTGTTTCACTGTTTGTTTAAATCTTGACGAAGACTTATGTAAACAAAAAGATTGCTTAATGGATATTTTAATCATGAAGACTTTGGCAATACAGATGATAGACGCTTTGTAATGAGGATTTTTTTTACTGATAAAATATGTTTGTATATACTCTGGTTGATATGTTGTAGAGAACTGGAATTATGATGCTTAAATTTCGCTGTAATCATATCATGTCTCACTAATGTATATACATGAACTGATTAATATGGTGTCTCCAACGTCAATTTTGTTTACAAAGTATATTAATCTTTCATTTTATCTGTAAACTTAATAAATACCACTTCATTTGCTTAGTGTTCGATAAATTTCGATAACAAAACTTTCATTAATTCTCCATATCTGTGGTTTATATTTGGTTAAATCCATGGGAAGTTCATGCTGTTAACTTGTTTCTGTATATCGTTAGTTAGTGTTCAGTTTTCATTCTGAAGTTACTTTCATCGTTAAAATAATTAATTCGTTTTATAAATTAAAATAGAGTAATGAGAAAACAGAGATGGTCTAAAAAGTGACATTTGAACCCCAAATGAACAAGTTCATAAAAGACAAATGTACTTTTTAAAATTTTAAAACAATTAGTCTTTCTGTTTTTCATCAAATGGTGAAGTAAACTTGCTAATTTATAGCCAGAAATCAACTTCTAAAAAGTCTGTCGTAACTAATCATGTTGTAGTAAACGAGAACACAAGTGGAAACAATAGAATGTATTCGAACACAAAATTACAGAACATATTAGTAAAATCAGAAGACCATACATAAATACTTCATTTGCAAAATGTCAATCGATTGTATTGAAATTGACTGTTTCTTTTATAAATATCAATCAATCGTCTCAGATATCACTGTTCCTTCATTTCCACAGCATTCATTCTATGTTCTGTTTCTCTTCTTCTCGATCTGCTGCCAGACATTCTATTCCTGACTACAATTATATACTACTAATGTCTATATAAGTCGCACACACAACAATGTTATATGTTTTAGTAATATTCCAGTCAGATTACAAAATAACTTACAATGACTTTTTAATATTTCAAAAAACACTTCTAAAATAGATAAAAATCAAGACAAATTCATAAAACATTTAAACGAATTCAAGAAATCTATAGGAAAGATCGCAGTATATATACAAGAAATAGAATGAGTTGTTTTTATGCAAATGAGAGTTTAAGTTCACTGTATAGCGTTGACAAGTCAATGAATAATGTTTATTAAATTTAAATATGAAGTAGTCCATAACTGATAGTGATATTTCTCAACGAGAATATTGAGTGGTAACTATTGGGATCTATTTATGGACTAGTACTATACATATATCTCTATTGTATAATTTTTAAGTAACTTAACTATGTATATTCATATTCCTCTTATTAGAAGCTTTATTTTGACCCATAGACTATTATTATACGATTTACCGTTCTTAAGTTATGCTCAGTTTATTAATTACAGTCTCCCACAATCATTGCCACTTTGGGTTAGTTCTTGTACAAACTTTATTTTTCATTTAATGCTTTGATGTGGTCTGTTTAGCTGGCATATAAACCAAGTATGTTTGAAATATATGATTCATATTGCGGAGGTTGAGATTAGTGTTCTGGACTCAACAGACAGAGCTAGTCTGAATGAAGGCTCAATAAAGTCTCTAGACTGTTCGTACGTGTTTATGCGTCGTTGTTTCGGTCAATAAGTCGCTGTTTTCTAATTGGCGATATCATAACGTTAATTATTATAAGGGCACAAGGCCACAAGTTAAAACAGGTAGTAAAATATTGGATCTAATTTCAGTTACTTTATGTACTACTTTATTTCATCTTAAGTAACATGTAAAGTAGGTTCAAAATGGGCATTTTTTCATTCAGTTAACTATTGAGCCATTAGGCTTGTAGATTGACATCTAGTAAGACTGAGATATTTATATTAATTAGTCATTGATTAATGACCAATATCATAATATACTGTTACTGATGTTGAATAACTATGAATTACATCAGTTATATATCTTTGTACACATAGCTTGTACTTATCTTTGTAAAATATTAGTTCCTTCATTATTGACTTTTATCTTCCTTTCATTCAAATCATATAATTTATCCTTTGAAGTATGCATAATTATATGGTTGAATGGTATAACATATATCATTTAATCAATCAATACAAAATGAAAATTCATTAACATACTACTAATTTGAACAATATCAGCATACACAATTTATTCATGAATAATAGTCTAACAAAAATATTGTCTTCTGACTTAAAAAGAACTTCAATTGTAGGTTATTATTATTTGCTT